GTACACATTGTAAAATGATGAGATTATTTTCTTCTTTGATCCTTGCTCTCGCAATAATTGTATAGCTTGTCAGTTCTATGATGGTTTTGAGTAGATTTAAAATATGGTTTGCATTATTTTATTTGTTTTCAGTGAGGGAGTTAATCTAAACATACTAATCAGCTATATACCCAAAAAGAGAACCTTCTTTCTTATAAGATTTTTTTAATTTGTTCCTGGAAATGACAATTGTCTCTTACTTTTACAGTTTCAATTTTTATTGGACAATTACCATTGACCTTTGCTAGTATGTACTTGTCAAAAACATGAGTCCAATATTAATTTAATTTAATTTTAACTAGTTGGTCTGGAAAGCAGTCTGATCTTTTGGGATACTGACACCAAGGGTACAGAAAGGCAGAAGTTAGGATTTTTTGTTTAAAGAAGTCTTACTTGGATTTGGAAGAGTATTGTGCATAAAGAGAATTGTGATATCAACCTACCAAAGTAACAGAAGAATGGCCTAAAAAAAAAAAAAAAAAATAAGCAACTTGAAAAAGATATTTACAGGGTGAGAAACACAACACTGTGTAGCTTAATAAGAGATCTGAATTACATGGAATCTTTAGAACACTGGAAGATTAGGGAATTGTTCAAGATTTGGAGAAACTTGCTTATTAGTTGGTGATGATGTAATTGTCTCCAGTACTCTAGTGTGGAAAGATGTAAAACTCTGTAGGTTCTGTGATAAAAGGAAACCATTTTGAATTCATTCATCCAACCAGATTCAAACTAAAAGAGAGGTAGCTGGGAAATTCTGATTTTTTAAAGGTTCAAGATGGATATTCTAGATATTTTGGTGACAGCAAAATATATATTTTTCTTATGATTTTCTATATCAGATTAGTTTCAAACTCCAAGCCAAAATTCTTAATGTAGACTCTTCTGACACATCTTCTCCACACAATCTTCTTTCTGTAATATTTAATCTGCTATTGAAATCTATTCAACAAATTACTAAGTATAGATGTTTTGTTTCTCAATTTTAGAATGGCCATTTGATTATTTTCTACAAATTCCAATTTAATTCAGATGAAAAAAAATTCCACCTTTTTAAATTAATATTCAACTATTTTTATCATTTAATTTAAGATTATCATTATTTTAAAGTTTTTGCTTGCCAAATTTAAAAGGTAGTCATCAAGTTTTTAAATATTTGAGTTATTTTCAAAGAATCTTCTAAAAGCCGTCTTTCGTAGAATTCTACGTATCTTTAAAAACAACCTCAATATAAGAATGGAAATTATCTATTTAGATCAATGTTAATGGTGTATCTTTTATAATTACACAACTTTAAAAATGGAAAAACAAACACAGTGTCAATAAGCCTGTTAATTATTCCCTAGGAGTCCCTTTAAAACAAGCATGTTTGGAATCCTCCAATTACCCAGTCCCCAGTGCCATGAGAATGGATGTAAAAGACCTTGGATGCATTGATTAAATTATTCATCTAGGTACTTGGAAAACTATTCTTTCCTTGGTAAGTAGTCTCTGTGGATGTTAGACTTCTTTTAATGGTGCATCAATTGGCTTTTGTAGGTCTAAGAGAATCATTGATTTATGGCCAAACAGGAGAGAAGACTTTGTCAGTGAGCACTGTAAGCACAAGGAAACCCATTTGTCATCTCTCTTTCTGACATAGCTTCCTTGTAAATTTAAAACATCATTTGCTTTAATAAGCTTTTGAAACTTTGTTACGAATCAGAGAACTCATAGTTGAAAGTAATTTAAATTTAAATGTTATTGTCTACTAAGATAATGTTGTTATATCTTTGGGGGAAAAATAATGAACTACAGCATTTTGATTGTATGTTTTTGTTAATTATGATTTAAAGCAAGAATCGTAGCTCCGCAGCCGTCTACCTCAGTCCTGTACCACTTTCATTCCCTCTTACATTTCTGTGAATGGAAATTTTAGACTCTTACCAAGAATGATTCATATGAAGACCCTAAAAGTAGCTGCCCTGCTCAATAAACACGTGAGCCATTTATTGCTTTCTTCAGCTTCCTCATGCATCCACCCTGTCTCACAGTGGCCACACTCATCATACTCTAATCACCCTCCAAGTTCCTCTCCTAGACCTTGACTTTGGACATATGTGAATTTTAATTGCATCTGCCAACTATATAACTTTACAATATTACACTAACTTCATTTTCTCATCCAAAATAATTAATAATAATCTACTTCTTAAAGATCCTATGTATCATACAGCTCTTGAATTAGTTTCTTAAAATCAAGTGCTGTCTTGATAACATCCTGACTGTCAATTCCAAGTGCCTTAGTTACCTGACCTGTAAAAGGAAAATGATAATGATAGTATGTAAATCAAAAGCTTGTTAGTTTTGTTGTGACAATGAAAGAAGACATATGTAAAGTGTTTTGAATATTTCCTTGAAGACAGCAATCACTATATAAACAGTAACCACTCTTGATAAAACTTTGATTAGAACCTTAGCTATATAATAAGTAATAACAGTATGAATATTGAGATAAATTTTAACTGTTTGTCTACCATCTGTCTGTCTCTCCAAAAGGTAACTACATGGATGAGTAGATAGGTAGGTAGGTAGGTGGGTAGGCAGATAGATAAATGGATGGATGGATGTTGGGTAGAATCTCGTACCCATTATCATCGATTAGATTCTGACTTGTGACGACCGTTCAGATCAGAATAGAAATGTCCCACAGGGCTTCCAAGGCCACAAATCTTTACAGAAGCAGAGGCCTTCATCTTTCTCCTGTGGAGCAGCTGGCAGATTCAAACTGATGAACTTTTTGGTAAGCAGCTTAGCTCTTTAACCACTGTGCTACCACATCAAAGCTCCTTGTTAGGTAGATAGGTACATAATTGTCTTTATTTAATCCATACAGCAACCCTGTGAGATATTTGTTGTCATTCTTATACGGTAAATAAGAAAATTTATGTTAAATTGTCTAAGGTCACACAGCCTTCATGTAGTTAAAACAGAATTCCAATCAAATTCTTTCTAAGACTAAATCAAAGATTTTATCTTTTTAAAATATCCTGATAATTTTGAAAATAGTCAAAATAAGAGCCATTAACCTCTGTCCTTCATCTCATTCACACTCTGATACAATAATATGACTGCATATTGAACAAGCAATTAACTCTCTGATTCTCAGTAAATTCTCTGCGCCTATGTCATAGAGTAGTTTTAATCATTAAATAAGATAAAATTCTTAGCACCGTTACTGACAGAGTTTTTAATATATGTAATCAGAGGGTGACTCAAAAACATTTTTAATTCCCTTTTTGGGATCCCAGTGGAAATATTAACATAGCTTATTGGATGCTTTTCTTAGTTTTCATATATTTTCAGGTCAGTTCTTCAAAGTTAGCTTCCTATTTCTTGTACTCCAAGATCAAGTCCAAATTCTTTCTACTCCTAGTAGTATTTTGAGACTCTGGAACCATTGACTGACATAATTCTCAGAATAAAGACTGGATTATACAGGCAAAAAATTAATACCAGCTAATTATTTTTCAGTGAGGAAACCATACTGAATGATTTTATTTAATTCAACGTTATCATATACCTTTTTTTTTTTTTTTTAATCTACTTCACTCATGTAGTCATCTAATATTTATTAAGGGCTTACTGGAAGCCAGGCATTGTGGTAGATGCAAAGATATATATTTAACAAATTTAATCAGCTTAATTAATATCTTAACAGGATTTGTAGAATTATCCTGAGTTTTTTCAAAAAGTTGGTCACAACATGTATTAATAGCATTTATTTTTATTTCATTAATATTACTTCTACTTTTTATTAATAAGAAAAAAAAAAATTCCATCCCTTCTGTAATAAGATATTGGAGGCTAGTGTCTATAATTTCTTGACAAAAAAGAAAATGGTGCTATACTTATCCTCATTCCAAGGTATATTTGACAAGTTAATTTATGTTTAATAAATATTGATACTTCTCCTTTCCTTTATACTATCCTCGGTCTATTTGTTAATCCATTTAATCCTCTAAACCTGCTATTATTTCACATTTGGGGTGCAAAAAGGTAAACAAATTCAGACATATTCTCTATAACCATGGACTCACTGTCAAATGGACAAAATAAGTCATTCATCAAACAAATAAAATAAAATTTGCAACCATGCAATTTAATAGATACTGAATTCTGAAATCTCTCAGATTTTATATTTGGAATGGAGTTTGATCTCTCTCTCTCTCTCTTTTTTTTTTTTACTTTTATTGTGGTGAAAACATATACAAGACGTTCACCAGTATAACAACTTCCACACTTACAGCTCAGGAATATTGATGATATTTTTTAGGTTGTGTCACCATTAATGCTATCCTTTACCAAAATATTCTACCATCATTAGCATAAACTCAATACCCACAAATAAAATCTTCCCCTTTTCCCCTCACTCCTACCCCTGGTAACCACTTATTTTTTAACGCCCCCCAACTTATCTAGGAATTTTCCACCACCACCTCCATCCTTGGTAACCAACCAAGAAAGTTTCCTAATGTGTATAAACCTTTCCTTTCCTTTTTACAATAGTGGACCAATATAATATTTGTCTTTCTGTGATTGACTTATTTCACTCAGCATAATGGCCTTCAAGTTCATCTATGTTATGGGGTGTTTTACAGATTCTACATTATTCTTTAGGGTTGCATAGTATTCTGTTGTGTGTATGTACCACAGGTTTTTTATACATTCTTCAGTGACGGGCACTTAAATTGTTTCCACCTCTTTGTTATTGTAAATAATGATATGATGAACATGGATGTGCATATATCTATTTATGTCCTGTCTCTCATGACATGAAGTTTGATATTTAATTTCTTTATTTTATTGTCTGTTTGATTAAATAATAAAAATAACTTCACTATTATATCTAATCGTATTTCTTTTTCATTATTATAACATTTTAGGGTATTAGGATTCTCAAAAAAGGAAAAAATAATAATATGGAACTGAAAGAAGGAAACGACACCTTGGTGACTGAATTTATCCTAGTGGGGTTTCCAACTCTCCCTGAGCTACAGATTGTCCTGTTCCTCGTGTTTCTGATGTTGTATGGTATGATTCTAACAGGGAACATAGGTTTGATGATGTTAATCAGGATAGATCCCCATCTTCAAACCCCCATGTATTTTTTTCTTAGCAACCTGTCCTTTGTAGACCTTTGTTATTCCTCTGTCATTGTTCCCAAAATGCTGGTCAATTTCCTCTCAGAGAACAAATCCATTTCTTATTATGGCTGTGCCCTGCAGTTCTATCTTTTCTGTACTTTCGCAGATACAGAATCTTTTATCTTAGCCGCCATGGCGTATGATCGTTATGTCGCCATCTGTAACCCTTTGCTATATACGGTTGTGATGTCCCGGGGCATCTGTGTGTGGCTGATTGTCTTGTCGTACATTGGTGGCAATATGAGCTCCTTGGTTCATACATCTTTTGCCTTTATTCTGAAATACTGTGACAACAATGTGATTAATCATTTCTTCTGTGACCTCCCTCCACTGCTTAAGCTCTCCTGCACAGACACCTCAGTCAACGAGTGGCTCCTCTCCACGTATGGCAGCTCTGTGGAAATCATCTGTTTCATCGTCATCATTATCTCCTACTATTTCATTCTTCTCTCGGTTTTAAAGATTCGCTCTTCCAGTGGAAGGAAGAAAACATTCTCCACATGCGCCTCTCACCTGACCTCAGTGGCCATCTACCAGGGCACTCTTCTCTTTATTTACTCACGGCCCAGCTCCCTGTATTCTCCCAACACTGATAAGATCATCTCAGTGTTCTACACCATCATTATCCCAGTGCTGAATCCCTTGATTTACAGTTTGAGAAATAAAGATGTAAAAGATGCAGCTAAGAAAGCTCTAAGGTCAAAGACAGATTCCTCATGAAATATTAAGCTCCAGGGACTTACCCAATTCCCCAATTGCAAACTTTAATTGGGAACCTACAACCACTTTACCAGCACACTCACAGATTCTCACACAAAGGAGTTTACCAAACAACCAAATCCATTTTAACCACAGCCAAAAGTATTTCATAACCCAAATATGTAAGACCACATTTAAAAGTGTTATGATAACCAATAAATAATAAACTAGTGCTTAAATGGTTTTAGCTTGGGGTTTATCTTAAAATAGTTTGCATCAGACAGTCTCAATAGATACAGTAAATCCCTCTGAATATTGTGTGCATGTGTGGGTCTACAGAATATCTCATATACAAAAATAGAGTACTGGATGACAGATGGAGCCAGATTGCTTTGGTTCATATGCCAGCTCAGCACCTGACTAAGCAATAGCACCTTGAACAAGCCACTTGATTTTTGTATGTCTCAGATTCCTTACCTATGAAATGGAGAGATTGTAGTGACTACGTCATTGATTGTTGAATGATGAATTAATACAGTTAAGAGCTTAGAATGGTGCCTGGACCATTTTAAGTACCCAGTGGATGTTAGTTATTTTATATGTTTATATAAAATACTCCCTTTGATTAATAGAGACATATCATAAACTGGGATGGTAAGAGACAGTAATGTTAGGAAAGCAATAATAGAAAAAGCAAATCCTAAATTTTCTGAATTGCAGAACAATCTTATGCAGATAACCTTCTATGTCTAATCTACTCCAAAGTAATTTGGGAATCTTTTCTAAGTGACATTTGTATAATATAGGTTAATTACAACTTGAAATAATTTTTCCTCTATCTCTTACTCTTTTTATGCAACAAGTATTATTGAAATTGTAAAATATCCTTCTCTAGTATCTGAGAAGCACAATAAGCTACCTAACGCTTCATATAATCTTATCTGCATCCTCATGGGGTGGTCAACCCAGATGCCATGGTTGCAGAATGTTCAGAAAATGTGCTTTGAAGACATAAATTGGTGGATGTCATCATTGCAAAACATTGTTCAGTAACTGATATTTTTCTGTATATAATTATCAATGCTTAATCGTAAACATAAACACTATCCTGGAAATATCAACATTGGAAAGTATATTTAAATCTATACATTCTTTGCTGTAAAAGCCTGCAAGATGCAGCCAAATGTAATTAACAATTTCTATAAAACCTAGTTTTCCTACATTTTTCTTGTGCTTTCTGACCAATAATTTTTCCCCTAAGCACTTAATGTTGCTTACTTTGGAAGAGAACACAGGCCCTACAGCTACCCAAGACATCAACATACTTTACTATTTGAGGAAGCCTCAGCTTTACCTTTCCAGGGTAATAGAGAGTCATGAAAGTCAAACAGAGAAGGACTAGATAGGATATATCTCAACACAGCTTTTCATTGCCCCGAGTGACTAACACATGCAAGCAGTTTTATTGGATAACACCAAGATGCATATAAAAATTTCAATTTTGCTATACCACTGTCTTTTCATACTCAAGGATTATATCATCAAAAATTAGATCTCTTATGGGAAAATATAAATATTTCCAATTAAGGTACTGACTAAACATAGAGGGTATCAGTATTATTCCATGTTTTCAAGTAGAAATAATTACACAGATGAAATTCTCTCAGTATTTGAAGTCTGCTATTATCTCTTTCACTTCCCACCGGGTTCACATTACTTATTCTACCAAAAGGAACAGCAAATCAGTTGGCAAAAAGTGAATTCTGATTTGGGGAAACCCAGTGTGTTTCAGAGTAGATCTTTGTTTTCAATGGCACTGACCTTTTAGAAATAGGTTGCCAGACTTCTCTTCTGAAGCATCTGGGTGGACTCGAACATCCAACATTTCTATTAGCAGTAGAATATATTAATCATATGTACCATTAAGGGACTCTTCTGTGAAGAAATCAGATTTAAAACTATTATTGACATAACTATTCATAGCAGCATTATTCATAATAGGTAAAAACTATAAATGACCAAAGCATTCATGAATGGTAAACCAGTAATGAATGGATGGATGAAATATGATATACAATGAAATACTATTCAGCCATGAAAAATGAATGGAATATCAGCAGATGCTTTGATATGGATGAACACTGAAAATAACATGCAAAGGCATTTGATTGTGTGGATCATGACAAATTATGGATAACACTGAGAAGAATGGAATTCCCAAGCAATTGATTATGCTCATGAGGAACCTGTACCCTGACCAAGAGTTTGTTGTTCAAATAGAACAAGGGGACACTACATGGTTTAAAATCAGGAAGGGAGTGTGTCAAGGTAGTATCCTTTTCCCATACTTATTCAATCTGTATGCTGAGCAAATAATCTGAGAAGCTGGACTATATGAAGAAAAATGTGGGTTCAGGATTGGAGGAAGAATCGTTAACAACCTGAGATAAGCAGACTATACAACTTTGCTTGCTGAAAGTGAGGATGACTTGAGGCACTTACTGATGAAGTTTGAAGAATACAGTCTGCAGTATGGATTACATCTCAATATAAAGGAAACCAAAATCCTCACAACTGGACCAATGAGCAGCATCACGATAAATGGAGAGAAGATTGAGGTTGTCAGAATTCACGTTTCTTGGTTCTACAATCGATGCCAACAGAAGCAGCAGACAGGACATTAGATGACGTGTAGCATTGGGAAAGTCAACCATGAAGGAACTGTTTCAAGTGCTGAGGAGCAAGGATGTCTCCTTGAGGACTAAGGTGCGCCTGACATAAGTCATGATATTTCCAGTCACCTCTTATGCATGTGAGATCTGGACAATGAATAAAGAAGACCAAAGAAGAGTTGATGCTTTTGAGTTGTGGTGCTGGAGAAGAATGCTGAAAGTACCATAGACTGCTAAAAGAACTAACAGATCTGTCCTAGAAGAAGTGCACACAAAATGCTCCTTGGGAGCAAGAATGGCCAGACTTCATCTCACCTGTTTTGGTCATGTTGTCAGAAGGGATCATTCCCTGGAGAAGGATGTCATGGTTGGTAGGGTGGAGGGTCGACAAAAGAGGGAGAGGCCTTCAAAGAGATGGATTGACACGGTGGCTGCGATGATGAGCTCAGATATAGCAGGGATCATGGAGTTGGCGCGGGATCGGGCAGTGTTTCATTCTGCTGTGCATGGGGTCACTATGAGTCAGATATGACTCGACAGCACCTAACAACAAAAACAACACATTAAGATATAATATATTATAGGTGTGTGTAATTACCATACGCAACAGAAAATAACAATTAACAGTAGATGCTTAATAAAAACATAAATCTTTACTTGTAAATGTCCTGCAACAAATCTCAATTCTAAGTGGGCAATACAGTGAGCTTCCACAGTGTTGCTGTCTTACACAACTTCAGGTAACACATTTTTCTTATTTTCAATAACCTCACTTGAATTGTGTGATACACGGACCATTTCACATCAAAGTTAAATATGTTCAAGTATTTGGCTGAAATAAAGAAAATAAATTATTTTTCAAATCTGGAAACACTTTCTATTTGCTCCTCACTGGCCTCAATCATTGCTGGAATCCTGCTTTGGTTTAAGAGTGGGACTTAGATGACCTTGAAGTGCTCATGTTTTTGTTGCTTTTAGGTGCCATAGAGTTGTCTCCAACTCACAGCACCCCTGTGTACCATAGAATGAAACACAACCAGTTACTGCTCCATACTCACAGTCCTTGCTATGCTTGAACCTATCACTGTTATTGTTGTTGTTATGTGCCATCAAGTCTCACCCAACTCATGGTGACCCCTCTTTGGTTTCCGAAGCAGTATCACTACAGAAGTAGATTGCCCAACCTTCTGCTGTAGCACTTTGTAAATCCAGCTCCTTGAAGTTCTTCCCCTTTTTTGTTGACCCTCCACTCAAAGTTATCTTAGATCTCTAAAAATCTATGGATTATCATTTTGTGTATTCCCAAATTTGTTTTTAACATAAAACACTAACATTTCTTGACAGTAGCAAATAAAGTAGTTTTTAAAAAATAAATTTATTTTATTACACTGTGGTCAGGAACCAGTTGAGAAGAAGTGCTGTAGAGTCAAATAAACCTAATGTTTGTGAGACTCTAGATGTTTATTTATCACCTCTGGATATAATTTTGCACATTTATATAATGAAGTTTCCAGAGACAACTCAAGATGCACAAGACTATATATGGAATATATAGTAATTGGTGAGAAGTTAATATACAAACATCTGCCATTTAATAAGAATGTTACAATAAACTGTATTTAAATTCAAACTTCTGCTTTTTAAAATCCATTGCAGAATGAAAATATACTTAAAGCACACATTTATAGAAGAAAGTGGGTGTTTTGGTTACCTACTTCCACTCTGACAGGAATCTACAATGAATAGGATGGCTTGAACAAACAGGAGTTTATTCTCTTATAGTTCTGAAGGCTACAAGTCCGAAGTCCAAGTGCCAGGCATCTGTTGACTGTATGAAAGCCCCTTGATCTTGGGTTTCAGCTCTGCTTCTTGCTCCTGGCCTGACTGAAGCTAGAAGCATATCTTCACTCAGGCAGCTGCTAGTTGCTGAGGCTAACAAGCCCAGGGTTGACAAATAAAATAGCACAGTTTCGATGTCACCAAACCACATGGCAGGCCATTAATTCAAGTCCATTCAAAGTCCCAAGGTTGGCAGATGATGGCAGCCTGCTGAACAATGACATGGCTACATGCAGGGTTCAAGTGTGCCTTAAGCTAGTGAGCATTCCGCAAGGCTTCTCCTTATATTACAGGAAGCAGACCACATGCCTAAGGCAGCTACACAGTTGCCCATAGTAGATTCCACCATGGAGTTGATTACCAGTCTTATCATGGGGAACACTATATCCAGCTACCCAGCCACTCAATTAGGCCCAGCCAAGTTGATACACTACTACCACAGAGGGAATAGGTATTTTTAGATGTCAGAACAAGGAGAAGGTATGATTTGACTCTGGGCCCTGATGAAGATATCTGATCAAACTAAGCAATGTGGTAAACTGAATTTCAGGGATGGAGGCATAGTACATTGATAGCTGTAGGGTAGGGGGTTAGGGTTGAAAGAGTACAAAATGACATTTTCTGTACCTCCTAATTTCTAACATATTACCATGGATAATGCCTCATATTACCATGGATAATATAAAAAAATATTTTTATGGGTGATTTTAAAATGATTTTGGTTTTATATATATATATATATATGAAGATACTCATCCATCAAACATCTTTTCAAGTACAATTTAGTGACTCTATTAATTTTATTGTGTGACTATCACCAGTATCTGTTGCAAATAGATTGCATTTGAAAATAAGGGGCACTCACCTATGCAATGTTTGTTGTAGCACTTTTCACAATAGTCAAAAGACGAAACTGCTGAAATGTTTGTCAGTGATGAACAGATAAACAAAATGTGGCATAAACACCCAATGGAATACTATTCAGCCATGAAGGGAAGTGAAGTCTTGACACATGACATAGCAAGAATCAACCTTGAAAACATCATGCTGAACAAAATACTTTAGTCTCAAAAAAAAAAAAAAAAAAAAAGAAATACCATATAGTATAATTTATTAGAAATAATCACATATATTAAAAAAACCAAAGACTATTAGTGTTTCTCAGGAATGAGCTGGAAGAGGAAAGAGGGAAATTTGTTTAGGGGGCGTTGAGTTTATATTAATGATAGTGCAATGATTTGGAAAACAATAGTGTGAATCATTGCACAACTTAAGAATATAATGAATTTCACTGAATTGTACCTGTAGAGATTGTGGACTTAATGTATGCTTTGACGTGCAGAATTTTACTACTAGACAGATATATAGGTAGGTAGGTAGATAGAGAGAGATAGAGATAAACAGATAGATGATGGATAGATAGAAAGAAAATAAAACTTTTTTTTTTAAAGAATCATCCTAATACATGTTTTCTTAAAAACAGTAGCCTTGCATCTGTTGACTATATTAGTAAAAACAGTCATTAAAGTCTTTTTTTTTTTTTTTACTCTTTGTTCATTACCCACCAAACAACCAGGAGATATTTAAAATCAAGCATTTAATGATTCATTGCTTTTGAAAATCCTTTTTGTAGAATATGAGAGTGTCAAGATAAACAAATAAGAACAGAAAAAAAAAATTCAAGACAGTGTGGATTATGTGTATTGATGTTATACAGTCATAAAATCTATGGACTAAGGGTGGTTGACATGTAACTGGGGGAAGGGAGTTAGACAGTGATTAATGAAAACAAAAGAGAACCATTAAAAGATTGCCATATTTCTAAATGGGGAAGTGAAGAAGGTTGTTTCAGCAAATGGAAGAAATAGGATGAATATTGGAAAGATGAGAATCCTTAACAGGAATGTATCTGAGCTTCATGGGTGTGTGATTTGACTGGAGGAAGGTGTAGAACCAGAGTAGCCATAAAGCACAAAATTAAACTCAGTTTTATTATTTCCCAGACATTGATCACTTTGAGGGAAAATTCCAGGCCTTGCTAAAATCCTTGTTGCAGTCCCAAGGGGAAACCACAGCCCCAGAAATCTAATTAATCACATGTTTTCATAACATGCATAAACGAAGGCAGAGGCTTTAGAGATTTAGTCCCAAACGTCTCTAAGTACAAATACAATGTGATCTTCCCAGTGCCCCCCATCCAAAATCAGAACAGAAAACATGCTCATCTCAGGTAGGATTCTGAATTGCCAATTTACAAGACTATAGGAAAATTTTTCTTTTGGGAAATATGAGGAGTCAAATATTGAAAAATTTGTAAGTAAATCATTTTTTACCTCCTTATTGAATTAAATAAACTCTACAACCTAACAGTCAAAGATGCGATTTATGGTTGATCCTGTATAAATTTGACTGACATCATTTATATGAGTAAAGTAGCTATTTCATTAATTTATATTTTAACTAAACTTTATAAGTAACACATTACTTTATAGTACTGTTCAAGTGATGTTTCTATCATGTGAATTTAAGATTTGTTCTGTTGGTATGTCTACTATGATTGAGGTATCACAATAAAAAATACCAGTATGTACACATTCAAGTTCATATAGACTTCATATGATAATATCTAACTACAGAAAAAAAATTAAAATCACACTACAATTTGCATGTCAATTTTTATACAACAGGGAAATTCATAAACACATACACACAAGGAAAATAAACATTTTATAATTCTGAGATATTAATTCTTCTCCCTATTTTCATTTTTTATAGAAAGTTACAAGTAAGAATAAAGAGATGCAAATATATGTGCAAATTCCATTTTTCCTACTTTGTATCACTTCTCTTCAGTTTGTCAATGCACTTTCCTTTCAGTTCAAGTCAGGCATTGGACTGGGTAATAAATGTTCAGCAAATAAGAAATGAAGTGTGGTAGGAAAGTTGTATAAAATATGTTTCATATATGTTTATGCACTTAAAATTAAAGCATCATAGACCAAAAGAGTAACATAATAATTTTAATTAATTTATATGCAGTTTTGTTCATTATTGCTGAATCTTTAAAAGCAATTATATTTCTGAATGAATAATACAAACATGGTTATTTTTTGTTCAGTGTTGTTGTTGTTGTTATGTGCCGTCAAGTCCACCCTGACTCATACCTCCTTGGGTTTCTGAGGCAGTATCACTACGGAAGTATATTGCCCAACCTTCTTTCTGAGGAGTGGCTGGTGGGTTTGAACCACCAGCCTTCTGGTTAGCAGTCAAGTGCCTTAGGCACTATGCTACCAGAGCTCCCTTTTGTTCAATAGTGTATTTAATTTTACACAAGTCTGATATTTAGAACTGTTTCTTCTGGCTTTGGGTATCTAACTTTATTGTATCATTTTGAATCTGGAACATCCTCTGTTGCTGTTGTTGTTGTTATGTGCCGACTCATAGCGACTCCTCCTTGGGTTTCCGAGGCAGTATCACTACAGAAGCAGATGGCCCAATCTTCCTTCCAAGGAGTGGCTCGTGGGTTTGGACTGCCAGCCTTCTGGTTAGCAGTCAAGTGCCTTAGGAACTATGCTACTAGGTTCATTCAGATCTACTATTTGAGATAAGGCAGTAGAGGCTAGTATAAATGACATATATGAAGAATGACATATAGATTTAGTTTCTGAATCAAAATTTTCTGAATTTCCTGTTTGAAATATTTAATTTCTTTTTTCAATACCATAACAATGCCTCTTTCACAGCAATGGTTATGTCTATTATTTTGTTAGGATAAGGAAAACAGCTTACAGATAGTGTTCTATTTTACAAAGAATACTTTGTGAGTCTCCAGTGAAGTTAATCTCTGATCTCTAACATTCTTAATTATTTTTGTAGTAGTTTAGAACAAGAACAAAGGAAAATGGAAGGAGAAAATTGCTCCGACTTAACTGAATTCCAGTTCTTGGGAATTACTAATAACCCTGAGATCAAAGCAACCATATTCGCCTTGTTTCTGTTTGTATATCTCATTATTCTTGTGGCGAATCTTGGAATGATCATTTTAATTAGACTGGATCCCCAGCTTCAAACACCGATGTACTTTTTCCTCAGCCACCTCTCTTTCTGTGACCTCGCCTACTCCACAGCAATTGGACCAAAGATGCTGGTGGACCTCTTTGTCAACAACAAAACAATCCCCTTCCTTGGCTGTGCTCTGCAATTCTTCACCTTCTGCATCTTTGCAGATTCTGAGTGTCTCCTGCTGGCAGTGATGGCCTTTGATCGGTACAAAGCTATTAGCAACCCTCTGCTCTATACAGTCAGTATGTCAACCAGAGTATGCTACATGCTCATGGCAGGAGTATACCTGGTTGGCATGGTGGATGCTTTGATCCATACTACATTAACTTTCTGCTTATGTTTCTGTGGGTCAAAAGAAATTAATCATTTCTTCTGTGATGTCCCTCCACTTCTACTGCTGTCTTGTTCAGATACACAGGTCAATGAGTTAGTGATATTCACCATATTTGGCTGCATTGAACTGAGTACCATTTCAGGAGTTCTAGTGTCTTATTGTTACATCATCCTCTCAGTTTTTAAAATCCACTCTGTTGCAGGAAGGTTCAAAGCTTTCTCCACCTGTACCTCCCACTTAACTGTTGTTGCAATTTTCCAGGGAACTATGCTCTTTATGTATTTCAGGCCAACTTCTTCCTACTCTCTAGATCAAGACAAAATGACTTCATTGTTTTATACTCTTGTCATTCCCATGTTAAACCCTCTGATTTACAGTCTACGAAATAAAGATGTCAAAGAAGCTCTGAAAAAAATGAAAAATAAAGTGTCATTTTAAACAGTTATATATACACAGAAAGAGTTGTTTTCTTAGACTTATATAGTACAATACATTACGTTCTCAAATACTTGAATACAATGAGTATTCATATAAATATGTGACTATACACATTAGGTAGTTTCCTAAATATGTTGTACTTTCTTATGTGTCTTCAATTTAAACACAGTATTCTCTAATTTTGGAAAATGTCCTTGTCTTATTCTGAGTGTTACAAAATTGTATTTGTTCAATATTTCTTTCACACATTAACTGAATTTTTCTAGGAATTATTGAATGTTTATTTATTGTTTAGAATATTAGTGCTTTGTATTTAATGATCAATCTCTATACTATTAAATCCTATATTCTTTTGTAAATGGAAAACTTTAATTGACTAATCATTCAAATATTTCTTTAGAAATCATAACATATCATGAAGTAAAAAATAAGGTGTTTTTAATCCAAAGTAAAATTTCTAAATCTTTTGTGCAAAGAAGAAATGCTTTTTTGATATGGGGACACATGGTTGCTGATCTAAATGATGAATGTTATTGTTGTTGTTATGTGGCGTTGAGTCAGACCCAACTCACAGTGACCCCTCCTTGGGTTTCTAAGTGGTATCACTATGGAAGTAATTGCCCAACTTTCCTTCCAAGGGGTGGTGGTGGGTTTGAACTGCCAGCCTTCTGGTTAGCAGCCAAGTGCCTTAGTCACTATGCTACCAGAGCTCTTAAATGATGAATAGAGATGCTAAATAGAAGAGAGGATAGTATTCTAGGCACAGGGGTTTACAATTAGTGATGATGAGATGGATAGGACCATGCCTTTTTAGATAAAATGAAACCCAAAATTATTAGATATTAGACAAGAAACAGAGGGACTTGGTAAAATCCATACTTGTGTTGCAATTCTTAACCTTTACCTCTCTTCTTCTAGGAAGATTTCCTTTAATTTCCCTTCTCCATTCCATCTCAGGCCTTGATAAATGCCCCTAGTCTTGTTTTATGAACCATATTCTCCTTAAAATGTAATTTTGTCTATCACTCTATATACAACAAAGCATATATATATATATATATATATATGCTTATAACCTGAGATTATGAGAATTTGGTGATGATGATGATGAGTGTTTCATCCCTGTTATGACATCCACTAATGACTGAAGGCAAATATTATTGCCTGAATATGATATTCACAATGTTGTGGCTAGTGGGTTAATGTTTTGGTCCATTTCTTTATCATGACTACTTTCCTCAGCCTTGGTACTGAAATCTCTAATATGAAAGTGGCATAGTGATGAGAGATTTGGTTATATTGTGTCCATAATATAGAATGGGAAATGGCCTATAACTAGGAAGGGAAATAGTAAGGAAGGAGACAACCTGAGCTGTGGGCTTTCGGCTGTCTGGAAGACAAAGCCATTTTGGTTGTTTACAAACAGCAGCCATTTTGGATATTTAAAGAGACCAAGGGTGTAGCCATTTTGAATTTTCATGAGTGGTGGCCATTTTGGATATATAAAAGAAAACTACAGACCAATATCCTTCATGAATACAGATGCAAAAATCTTCAAAAAAAAATCCTAGCCAACAGACTCCAACAATATATCAAAAAAAATAATACATTATGACCAAGTAAGGTTCATATAACGTCATTGTACCAATACCAAGCTGTTTTGACTATTGTGTCTATATAGTAGTTTTTGAGATCCATCACATAAATAAAACAAAGGAAATAAATCCCACGACTATATTAATTGATGCAGAAAAGGCATTTGATAAAATCCAACATGTTTTCCTGAAAAAAAAAAAAAAAAACTTTCAGCAAAATTGGAATAGAAGGGACATTCCTCAACATAATAAAGGGCATACATGCAAAACCAACAGCCAACATTATTCTCAATGGAGAGACACTGAAACCATTCCCCTTGCAAACAGGAACCAGACAAAGATGCCCTCTATCACATCTTATATTCAACACTGTATTGGATGTCCTAGCCAGGGCCATAAAGCAAGAAAGGGAAATCAAACGCATCCAAACTGATAAGGAAGAAATCAAACTATCTCTATTTGCTAATGATATAATCTTATACCTAGAAAACCCAAGAGCCTCAGCAAAAAATACTGAAACTAATTGATATTTAGCAAAGTGGTGGGATATAAGATCAACATACAAATATCAATTGAATTCCTCTACACCAGCAAAGATATTGATGAAAAAGAAATAAAGAAATCAATACCATTTATAATAGGTCCTCAAAAAATAAAATACTTGGGAAGAAATTTCACTAGAGACAAAAAAAGACTTGTACAAAGAAAACTATAAATCACTACTCCAAGAACCCATAAGGGATCTACATAAAAGGAAGAACATACCATGCATATGAATAGTAAAATTGAACATTGTGAAAATGTCACTACTACTCAAAACGATCTATATATCCAATGCAATCCCAAACCAGATCCCATCAGCATTCTTTAAGAATATAGAAAAAACTATCACTGATTTTATATGGAAAGAAAAGAGACCTTGAATAAGCAAAGCACTATTGAAGAAGAACAAAGTAGGAGGTCTCATACTCCGAGATCTCAAAAACTACTATATAGCCACAATAGTCAAAACAGCTTGGTATTGGTACAATGACAGACTCATAGACCAGTGGAACAGAATTGAAAACCCAGGTAGAGATCCATCAACCTATGGTCAACTGATTTTTGACAAAGGACTGAAATCCATTAAATAGGGAAGTGATAGTCTCTTTAACATATGGTGTTGGCAAAACTGGATATCCATTTGCAGAAAAATGAAACAAGATCCATACCTCACACCATACACAAAAACTAACTTCAGATGGATCAAAGACTTAAATGTGAAACCTAAAACTATAAAGTTCCTCAAGGAAAAAATAGGGCAAATTTAGAGGCCCTAATTTATGGCATAAATAGACTGTCAAGCATAACCCAAAATGCACAAACAACTGAAGATAAACTATATGAATGGGACCTTCTAAAAATTAAATTCATATATGTTTACAAAGTCTTCTCCAAAAGAGTCTAAAGAGAACCTACAGATTGGGAAAAAAATGTTTGGCAATGACATATCTGACAAAGGACTTATCTCTAAAATTTATAGAAAATTTCAACACCTCCACAACTAAAAGATTAACAATCCATTTAAAAAATGGGCAGAAGACATGAATTGATACTTCACAAAAGAGGATATTCAGGTGGACAGAAAATTCATGAAGAAATGCTCATGATCGTTAGCCATCAGAGAGATGCAAATGAAAAACCAATGAGATACCATCTCACCACAGTATAATGGCAAAGTTCAACAAGACAGAAAATAACAAATACTGGTGAGGATGTGGAGAGTTTGGAACTCTCATACACGGCTGGTGGGACTGTGAAATCATACAGCCACTGCGGAACACAGTATGGAGATTCCTTAAAAAGCTGGACTTAGAAATACCATTTGACCCAGCAATTTCCCTTCCTAAAGAGAGGAGAGCCAGAACAAGAATATGTATGTGCACAGCCATGTGCACTGCAGAACTATTTACAGTAGCCAAGAAAGGGAAACCACCCAGCCACCCATCAAAACAAAAATGGATAACCAAACTATGGTACATACACACAATGATTCAAATACTGTGCAGCACTGAAGAATAAAAGTCTGCAAAACACCGTATAACATGGATGAACTTGGAGGACATTAAGCTGTGTGAAATAAGTCAATCAAAGAAGGACAAATATAGTTTAGTTCATTATTGTAAAAGGTCAAGGAAAGCTTTATATATAGAAGGAAACTTTCTTTGTTGGTTAATCATTACAAGATTGCCATATTTCTAAATGAGGAAGTTGAGGAGGTTGTTTTAGCAAAGGAAGAAAGAGGATGAACAAAAGAAAGGAGATGAGAATCATTAAGTAGATGTCTGAGTTTCACTGGATGTATGATTTGGCCAGAAGTATAGATTCAGGGTAACCATAAAGCATAGCATTGAACTCAATTCTATTACTTCCTGAACACTGATCACTTTGAATGAAGATTCCAGGTTTTCCTAAAGCCATTGCAACATTCCCAGGGGGAAACTACAGAAACAGAAAGCTAATTAAACACAGTTTCATAACAGAAAAAATGAAGCAAGAAGCTTTAGAGATTTAAGTCCCAAATGTCACTTAGTACAAATAAAATGTGATCTTTCTAGTGTTCACCTACCCAAAATCAGAACAGAAAACATGCTCATCTCAGGTATGATTCTGAATTACCAAATTAAAAGATTATGGTTTTTGTTTTGTTTTGTTTTGTTTTGTTTTAGTGGGGAAGACGAATGAGATATCGAGACGAATCAGATATCGAGAAATTTGGAAATTAATCATTTTAAGCCTATTTATTCAGTTACGTTAGGAACTCTGGTTGTGTAGTGATTAAGGCATTTGGCTGCTAATCAACAGTAAGAAATTTGAAGCCACCAAACTCTCCATGGAAGAATGATGAGTCAGTCTGCTTTTATAAAGATATATAGCCTTGGAAACCTAACAGGGATCACCATGAGTCACAATGAAGTCAATGGTAGTTAGGGTTTTTTTTCTTTTTTTTTTGTATTCAGTTTCATAAACTCTGCAACCTAACAGTCAAGTAATAATAGTTGAACCTGTGTCAATTTGACTGCCATCATTTGTAAGAAAAGTACCTATTTCAGTCAATTATATTTTAACCGAAATACATAAGTAAATCATTACTTTTTGTTTAAGTGATATCACTATACATATGAATTTAAGATTTTTTGTACTGTTATTCTAACCATTATTAAAGTGTCATATTAAAAACATGTTATGTTATGTGCCGTCGAGTCGGCCCCGACTCATAGTGACCCCTCCTTGGGTTTCCGAGGCAGTATCACTACGGAAGTAGGATTGCCCAACCTTCCTTCCG